GGAAAGGACTATTAGAACCGCAAACTATTACACCACGAACACCAATGAAACAGATGACCGAAGCAACAATTAGATGCAGAACAACAGCAACTACTACAAATACATGTACAACTACAACTACAATTACATGCTCTACCAACAAATACTAGGACTAGGAAGGAATAGGAGTAGGACTGGACTCTGGACTAGTACAACGCAGCTCGCTGCTCTCAACAAACACATCGAGCGCATTTGGAAAATCGAGCAAATCGCAGCAGCCAACATCTGTGCGACGACTAATGTGCATGTATGTCGATAGAGAAATCGCGAGAATTTCCCATCGCGTGTGAGCAAATAATTGACGATCGACGTACCATCACCACCGCCACCGCCACCACTGGTTGCGAGGTCCGAACGTTCCACGTCTGTTGATCCAGTCAATTCTGCATGGATGGAGTAGGAAGTGAGATGCGGAATGTGTCCGGTGAGAATGGGAGGAAAGCATGTGCATGTGAGAGCTGGTCACTTCTTGTTCCTATTTTTGTTCTTCTTGTCCTTGTTATTATTATCATCATTGTTGTATCAACAGTGCAAGAGAGCAGCGGCAGCAGCTGCATGTGTTGCCGCGACCGCTGCTACATCTGGTGCCGTTCGCATAGTTGAGCATGTGAATTATTTCATGCGAGATTTCATGCGCCCAAGGTCGATTGACTAACAATGTCCGAAAACTGTACCGCGCTGCTCCAGGGCAGGCGTAATCTCGTAGATCCGAGTCACCACAGGATAATAAGTTGTAACGCGCAACATGCTCCCGTTTCTATTGTCTCTAGTCTTTTACAGCGGACACTAGTAAGATTCACTGGCCTGTAGTTTCCTGGAGCCTTTCGGTCACCGGCCTTATGTATCGCCACCACTGTCACCGTCCTCCAGTTGTTATTTCACCGAGTCTCAGAATAGTATTTAGAATAGCTTTTGACAGTTATATGCAAGGTGCAGTTCTTATTGATGGAGTTAAGCTCGTTTTTAAATTTCACTATGGGATACTTCGAAAGCTGACCAAAAGTTAGTTTTATTTCGTATTCGTCGATGATCTTAGGCTGAACGTTTCAGAATAGTATTTAGAATAGCTTTTGACAGTTATATTGAAGATGCAGTTCTTATAGGTTTAGTATGGGTGCATTTCCCTTTCCAGAGGTCGTGCATTTATATTGACGAATGATTATTTTATTTTTTCTTTAGTTAAATAAATTTGCTGTTGATTTTTTCCGTTGTTATCTGACTCATCGAAACCAGCATTATGTTTAGGGTCTTTATTAAACGAAGTAATTTTTGAGCGACAGTGGTCTCCAGTTGGGATTTTTCTAATAGCTTGGAGAAAGGGGATCGATCTTGAATTTTTTGAATAAAGCCGCGTTTGGATGCTAGGCTGTAGTAATCGGAATAGTATCGAATTTAGGAATACGAGAATCCGTACTGTACTGCTCAGAACTGAATTGGCTCCAACCCGA